GACCTTTTTTGCAAATAAAATAAGAAGGGCTGGGGGTTTGGCTGAGTGGTAGAGCTTTTGCCTAGTGTATGCAATGCCCTGGGTTCAATCCCCAGCACCGCCAAAAAAAAAAAAAAAAAAAAAAAGACAGGGCTCTTCTCAAACTGCACCTCTGATGGTAGAATTTCAGGCGCCAGTGCAGCAGTAAGATGTGTAGGCTGCTTAGCACCTTTCAAAGGAGAGTCAGATGTGAGCTTGAGGAAAGAGGGAAGCCAGGTTCAAGTGCTGGTTTTCTAAACTTTCTAGCTCTGAAAACCTGAGCTGTTTCTTGAGCTTTCTAAAACCTCAGTCTCCTCATCTGTAAAATGAGGCACTTGCCTGGAACTAGCAGACTTGGTGGGAGGTTTTAGGCGATGTTTTTGGAATTTCTTAGGCTCCAGCCTAGGCCCTAGTTTCCCTGGGTGACTTCTTCCCTTCTGGGTCACCTGTCTCTACTATGGAGCCAGGTGCACAGCAGATAGTGAATGAACACTGAGAGAATGAATGAATGAGGGGTGTAAATAGCTGGGCACAGTGGTGCACACTTAGAATTCCAGTGTCTTGGGTGGCTGAGGCAAAAAAAGATTGCAAGTTCAAAGCCAAGTTTAAAGCCAGCCTGGGTAACTTAGACTCTGTGTCAAAAATAAAAAAAATAAAAAAGGGTTGGGGATGTAGCTCAGTGCTAGAGTTCAATTTCCAGTGCCACAAAAATAAATAGCAATAACTTGACACGTAGCCTATTACCTAATAGGTGCTCAATAACGGACCAGCTGTCAATATTAAGCCCGGGTTCTGTATCAGCATTCTGAGTGATTTTGAATGGATCATCTTCCTTTAAGGAGACTCATATTCCTCAACTACGAGATGAAGGTTGTTCTAGATCTAGTTCTCTGTTCTCCAAACTGTTGGTAAACGGTTATGATGTAGGGACTCATATAAGGTATTTGTTCTGCCTGACAAGAGATGAGGTAGGGGAAAAAATAACTGAAGAGCTATTGTGTAGACACATGAGGTTCAGCCAGTTCTCCTCCATCAGCAGGCAGAGAGGTATAGAGACTGGACAGACTGCTGGACAGTGGTGCCATCTGTGGGCCCTCCCCTTAGGCAGTCTTGCCCAGTCCAGAAGGTCATACAGATGATCCACAGTGTCTGTGAGGGTCACAATATGCCAGGCACTGAACTGAGCTACAAATGGTCTTGCAGGTGAGAAAATGTAACACTTCCCAGCAAATATGGGGGGCCTCTGATCCCCACTGCAAACCTTCAGAGCGGAAGGAGCTGGCTGGGCTTTCGACCCACAAGCATCACTACTCCCAATTCCAGACCCCATCATCCATTTATTTATTAACATCCTCGACAAGCCACCATTTTCCAGGTAGAGAGGGAATCAAACATTCTCCCAGGAAGGAGCAGCGGTGGGAGGCAGGCACGCCCCCCCCCCCCCCCCGGGGCCACCCAGGTGTTGTGTGGTGGCAATGGTGGTGAACTCAAGACCCCATAGAGAAGGGCATGATTCCACCTCCGTCTTTTGTGACAGGGTCTCACTGTGTTGCCCAACATCAGTCTCAAGGGATCCTCCTGCCTCAGCCTCCCAAATAGCTGGGGCGGCAGGTGCTACCACTGCCCTGGGCTTGGCCTGGTTCCCCCTCTGCAGACTGGTCCCGTGGAAAAACTCACTGGCCATGGCCAGGGCTCCTGAGCTTTTAAAGAGAACCACAAAGTTTTTTTCCATGAAAATGTTTTCCAATTTAAAAATGTCAGCAAGTTCCTCACTGTTTGATGCTCATTGCTGACATATCTGTAGTAAAGGGCGTGGTGAGTAGCCAACAGCCCACAGGACATGTAGCCAGTGTTCCCTTCGTCATACAGGGCCCTGCGCTCAGGGGACAGAGCCCTGTGCTGGAGCTTATGCTCTGTTGAGGCAGTATTGAAATTATAAATAACTTTTAAACAAGGGCTGAAGTTTCCTCTTTGTGCTGCAAATTATGTAGCTGGTCTCAACTAGAGGGAAGGGCTAAACCCACCTGTGGAGGAAGGGCAGAGTGGAGGCCACGCTTCAAAGACAAGGCCAGTTGTCTCCCAGCCCAGGGAGGACATGGATAGTGTAAACAAAAGGCTGGTCACAGCAGGGGTTGAGTCTGGTTGTGAGTGGTGTAGTTGTGTGAGACTGGTGTATGTGTGTGTGTGGTGTGATTGTCACACAGAAGCATATATGCATATGTGGATTAGAAGTGTGAGTGTTTTGGCCAGGGGTGTGTTATATGTAGCAGTGGGTGATGGCGCTTGAGTTGTGTTATGGGTACAAGTGTGTGAGTTTGGCACATGAGTGAGTGTGGGTGTGTTCTGGTGTGTGGTGTGAGTGTGTGGAAGGGGTGGCCAGGGCAGGGAGAGTCACAGGGCAGTTTGACAAATATTTATGGAGCACCTTCTGTGCGCCAGGCGCTGTGCGCTGTGCAAGGCGCGGAGTTGAGCAAGCCCAGCACTCGCCCCAAGGCGCTCAGGACCCAGTAAGGGAGGGAGATGTGTAAACAGATAGCAGACTGATACAAACCCCTTTATAAAAATTCCAGCTCTGCCCCCACTTTGTTGACCAGCCTTGTAAACTGGGTTTCTCCCAAGTGGTGAGAGGGGTGGAGCTTTGTGGGATTCTGGGCACCAACCCCGAGGAGGCCCAGGGCAGCAAACTCAGCCCCCCTGGGCCTGGACCCAGCCCCCTCTGGGCACACCCAAACACGGGAGGGGTGACCTCCCTCTGACCTGCCTAGCAACACACCCAACCCTGGAGAAGTCGATAAGAGGTGACCAGCAGCTCAGGGCAGGATATAAACAGCTCAGCCCCACCCCCAGTCCAGGACACACCTGAGGGGACCCAGGGCAGGTGGGCAAGAGACAGGGCCACCTCTGAGGGTGAGTCCATCCCAGGGCTCCCAGTTGGGTAAGGATAACTGGCTCCTAACACAGAGAGCTCTGGGGGAGGGGCCGAGAACAGCTGGCCTAGGTGTATGTGGGTGCTCTGGTTTTCTGAGGGTGGGAGGGCAGAGAGCAAGATATCTTGGGTAAGGGGAGAAAGATATCTTGGGTAAGAAACGTGTCCCTGGTCCAGGCTCTGCCCCAGGAACAGGCAAGCACATTGAGTTCTGGTCCCTACTCTCCCCTGGCCAGTGACCTTGTGCTAGGCTCTGGCTTCATCAGAGAAATGGAACGCCCAGTCTCCTCAGAGGCTGTGGGGCAGATCCAGTGAGATAATGGGATGAAGAAAGTGCCTCATAACAGAAGACAGCAGGACAGAGGTCAGCAGGCTGTGTGGGCCTTGCAGCTGCTCTCAAGCCCTTCTGGAGGGCTTGAAGGTACTGGGCACCATATGCTCAGCCCTCCAGCCCCGCACATGCTCTCTGGTTGAAACTCACTGCTGGGATCTCCTTTGGGACCTGAAGAAATGGAGGACCTAGGGAGGCCTATCAAGTGTGTCTTGGTCACTTTTGGCTGGATGATCTTAGGCAATTTTGGGTCACCTCTCTCAAGCTTGAAAAGGACCCTGGAGATAATATGGTAGAGCAAATAACACAGGATAAACTGCCTATGAAATTTCGAGAAATGAGGTTGCTGTTAKGCTAAGTGGCCTTCTCGTGGGAGCCAGGCCTGCCTGAACCGGAGACCTCGCCCACCTCTCTCTTTGGCTAACTTGCTCACTATGGTCTCCAAGCTCCCCACTCTCCTTTCCACCACTTGCTGTTTCTCCAGAGCAAGCTCTGTGCTCACGTGCCCACCACCATGTCTAAGAGCCCTTCTTTGTCAATATCCCTTCAGCAAATAATGTGATATTTCCAAGACAACTGACCAGTATTTCAAATTTATAGAATGGGCTATTCATGTGCCCTGTGGAATCCAAAGCCTTGAACTTAAGTAACTTTCCACCTGGAGACTATTCTTCATAAGTAGACCTATSGACAGTCCCATCAATGAAATGTTCTCCCTAACACCAGATACATGCTAGGCATGGGGGACTCAGGAGGCTAAGGCAGGAGGATCTCCATTTTGAGGTCAGCCTGGGCATTTATTAAGACCCTGTCTCAAAATAAAAAAAAAAAAAGACTGGGGATGTATTCAGTGGTAGAGTGCCCCTAGGTTCAATCCCAATACCATAAATCAATAATCAATCCATCCAGAGTCATCACTGTGGAAATAGTAATGCAGTCCTGGAATCTGCTGAGGATTGGATTAGAAGTTAGTGAGGTTGGAGAAGCTCCCTGGGGTAGGGTAAAGRACAGAACCCATGTACGTCGGCCAAACCTTGTGCTCTGCAACTGTAAAATGGGAACCTTAAGTCTCTCTTCTTAGGAGAAGACGCAGAGTGGCTTTAGCTCAGTGCCTGGAAGAAGACTCAGTTGTCAATAAACCTCAATTCCTTCCCCTATTCTTTCTCAGCAAGCATCCTCTCCATTTTGCTTTGCTTTCTCCCCTTCACAAGATCTTAACTCTGATTTCATATCAGGCACAGAAGCTAGGATTCATGTTACAGACATTCAACTTGCAGCCAACTTAGCTGGAATGCAGAGGCCCCTCTTTATTCCACAAGGCTGGACRTGCAATTCTCGATGTCTTGGAGAACATCAGGTCCAAACCCCTGTCCTTCAGGAGGAAGCAGCCCCAGAGGGCAGATGTGGCCGACGTCACTGAGCACACATGTGGTGGTGGCAGCCTCTGAAGCTCATGTCCTTGATTGTGTGACCATCTTGCACACCTTCCCTGTCATGAACGGCCTTACCTGTCCTCTTTGCCCCCAGTCAGGGTCCTACAAGCCCCACTCTCCTGCTTCCCAGCCCCTAGCTGCTCTGTCTTCCCCCTCTGTCCCTTAAGACCCCTTTCCCAGCTCAGGCCTATCTGRTCCGGAGGCCTAGATGTCAGTACACAGAGAGCAGAGACAAARGTTAGAAAAACCTAGAAGGCGCTTTATTGGAGGTCTCGGCCTCCATTCACAGGAGATAGGAGCCAGGACCCCCGTCTTGAGGGGTCTGGCTGCAGCCCTCCTCTCACTGGCCAGGCAGGGTGACAAGTCTGGCCACAAGTGCTCAGTGAGAGAGGAGGGGGGAGGGGAATGCCTTAGAAAAAATAGATCTCTATGTACATCTGACGTATTTATAACACATAAATTAGGGATGCTCTGACCCCCCGCCGTGGAGCCCAAGCACTGAGCAGAGAGGTGGAAGCCAGTCCAGAAAGGAGGGGCTGGAGGACACTGCCTGTCCCCTCTGTCCCAGGGCTCCCCAACAGTCTCCATGGCTGAGTCTAAGCATCTGCCAGGGAAGGTGTCATCGGCAGCAGCGTTGGGATTGGAAGCAGCCAACCAGCAGCTGTAGAGTCAGCGAGCAAGTCGCTTCAAACCCCAGGGCTTATAATTCCAGAAGGAGGAGAGAGGAGAGGCTGCAGGCCCCGCTCCAGGACAGGCCTGACCACACACCAGACTTCGGCTTCTCCACAGCCCTGCAGGGAGCACATCCAAATGGAGGGGCTTCCAAGCCTGCCTGGCCTCCAGGAGGGCTGCAGGCCTCAGTCCAAGTCCATGAGTTTGGTCCTGGTCTAGTTCAGCTCCTCAGTTCCGACTCTGAACCACCTCTTCTTCCTTCCAGCCACTGGAGTTTTTGCCAAACTTGTAGACCAGTCGGCGGCCATCCACCCGTTCCAGGATCTCTCGTTTGTAGTAGTACCTGGACCAGAGGCGAGGTGGTCAGAGGTGCGCAGGCAGGAGACGTGGCCTGCGCTGCAGCACGTCCCAAATGGCCCAAGTCCTCGGCTGATCTGTCCCCTCTGGTCTGCAGCCAGACCCACCTGAGCCTGCCCCATACTTCCTGGACTGCTCTTCCCATCTGCTGAGGCCACACTGGCCTATCAATGTCTGCAGGGCACCTGCTTCTGCACTGGTTTGTTTATAGCTTATGGCTACGTCCCGGGCCTTTTCATGAAGGCACATGGTGCAGGCTGAAGGGAGCCTAGAGATGAGCGAGGCCATCATTGTGGCAACAGGAGGAAACTGAAGCCCAGAGACAAGCAAGCAGAGCCCTGGCCCAGGCACGGCCGTGGGCTTTCCAGAACTCTCCAGGTGCCTTTCTTAGGACCACCTTGCAAATAACACATATGTCAGCTGAAGTCACGGTGCCTGCAACGTGCCAGGCTAACACTTTCTCCATGCTACCATTTGACCCCCCAAGTCAGTGGGCAACTTCACCGTCCTCACTCCACAGGATTAACACTTACTACATGGATCCCAGGGGTGACAGAGAGGGTGGGGAGGGGGGAGGGGAACACAAACAACCAGTCAGATCAACAAGTCCCCAAATGTCCAGCTCAGTCATGAGCCCCATGACTCTCATAAGCGTCTCACCTCATGGCCCGGCTAAGCTTCTCATAGGTCATGTTGCTGTTTTTTTTCTTTTGGCCCCACAGTTGGGCCACGGCCTCAGAGCGCAGAAACTTGAAGACACCCTCGTGCCGGTTCTCCCACTTCATGAGGCCTTCGTTGAGCTCAGGGTGGATGAGGATGTCCCGGATGAACTCCCACAGGTGGGTGCCTCTGGGGGCTACAAGGCCACATCCCTTCAGTCAGCAGGCCAGGGCAGCCCCTCTCACCAGGCTGGCTGACCTTAACCCTAACCCTGAACACTGCTGACTAATGGCCAGAGAAGGAAACCAAACCTTCCAGAAACCGGCTACAGTGCCCTTGGAGTATGTATTGTAGYGACCACTTTCCTCCTCATGTCCTCCTAGACGAGGCGCTCCAGGAAGACTGGACACCTCTTGCACAGCACAGATGTTTCACTCCTGACAATACTGATCAAACATCTGGCTGGCATGGATGGTGACAAGGACCCCTATGGCCTCTGGGGACTCATGGCTTGGTGGGGGGCCTACAGAGAAACCCACGGTAAGAGCTTGCTGAGTATGGGAACAGATAAGTAGCCCCAGGCTGGGGGGACCAGGGGACAGCTTCCTGGAAAAATACACTCCCCCACAGAAACCAGCTATATGTGCATGCAAGCAAGCACGCAGGCAAGAGAGGCCTTCAGGGCAATCTCCCAGAGGCTCAAAGCTGCTGGAGCACACAATGCCTGAGGCCCCTTTCCCACCCTCAGCAGGCTGGTGTCCAGTGTCTCAGCCCAGTGGCTCTAGGGTCCCCCCCAGGCACCCACCAGCTGCCTCCACCCACCACCTAGGGTGTCCCAGCAGGCAGGACAATGGCTAAGTGCAGACAGAACTGGAGTGGGTGGACTGGAAACCTGAATACTCAAGCCACCGGCCTCCCTCTGGAGCCTCGTTTCCCCTCCTCATCAAGACCACATGGTAGTCCCTGCAGTGAGGGGTGGACCAGCGCCACATAGCCCTCCTCCTCCCCGCCGGCAGCAGCAGGGAAGCAGAGCAGAGGTGGCCTGCCGCCCACCAGCTGCCCGCCCGCAGGCCAGGGCTCACCCACCGTGCTTGCTCTTCTTGCCCTCCAGGCACTCCCAGTACTCCTTGCTCAGCTTCCGTGGGCGGCCCCGTTTCCGCTTTCCGTGCTTGCTTTCCCCCTTCTTATAGTCAGGAAATCCATCTATGGGGGGCAGGTGGAAGGTCAAGAGGGTGGTCATTGGGGGAGCAGCTCCTAACCAGAAAGCCCTGCAGGAGCAGGGAGGAGGGAACGGGACGCCCAGGGCCTCCCTCTGCTCACCTCTGGGGAAGAGCTTGCTGTCAGTGGGGTCCAGGTCCACGTCACTTCCACCGGAGTCTGAGGAATGGAGGCTCTGGGAAGTACCGGTCCCTGGGTGGGGAGGTTAGAGTGAGTGCCTGGCTGCCACACAGGACCCAGAGGCCTGGGTTCCAGTGCTGGGACCCAGGCCCTGGGGGCCCTGGGGGAGGGAGGCTGCGCTCTCACCTGCGGTGGAGACGTCAGAGCTGCCAGGGGAGGGGGCTCCTGCGCCATAGCTGCCTGCGTAGTAGGGGCTGGCCTGGTGGGCGTCTTCCAGCAGCTCCTGGGTGAAGGGGCTTCCCTGATCTGAGGGGAAGAGAAGAGAGGGCTCAGGGGACCAGGCAAGGCAGGTAAGGCTCCGGGGCCTGATGAGCTGCTGCCGGGACTTTTCTTGTTGGGGTAGGAGGCCTGGGGAGGGGCCGTTCCTCTCACTCTAGGTAGGGCCAGGGATGGGACAGGACAGGTAGACCTGGGCATGGGGGAGAAAAGGAGCCTCACCAAAGGGGCCRGGGTCTCCTAGGGTGTCCTGGAAAGCCATGCCGTCCTTCTCCAGCAGCTCAATGATCCAGCTGAGTTCGTCAGAAGAGCTGGAAGCTGAGGAGAAGGAAGGAGGGGTCACTTCCCTTGCCCCTCCCTCGGGGCCCTCTCCGGCTGCGCCCTCCGGCCAGGCTCCAGGTCTTGCCCAGGGTGGACCCTCTCCTCCCCTCCAAGGCCCCTGTGGCACCAGTGGCCTGGACTCACTGAGGTCCCGCAGCTGGGCATGGAGGTGGTCCCCCAGAGGCCCAAAGACCAGACGCAGCTCGTCAAGGGCACAGTTGCAGAGGGTGGCCCCGTCCATGTCACACCGAGAGAAGTCAATGGAGCTGGCATCGTATTTGTTCTTCTCCACTTGGTAGCTGATCCAGTCCAGAACCTGGGCCTTCGACCAGAACTGGGGCTGCTCCCCCAACCAGCTGGCCTTCTCTGCAAGGGGCCCAGCACAGCAACCGGGTCAGCACAGGCCCCATTTCTAGTGCCCCTTTGGGATTCTTTTTTTTTTTTTGTACCAAGTATTGGACCCAGGGGTGCTTAACCACTGAACCACATCCCCAGACSCTCCACTTTTTTTTTTTTTCTGAGACAGGATCTCACTAAATTGCTTAGGGCCTCAGTTGCTGAGTCTAGCCTTGAGCTTGTGATCCTCCTGCCTCAGCTTCCCAAATTGCTGGGATTAAGGCCTGTGCCACGGCTCCCAGCCCCTTTGGGATCCTGTGTGCACTCCCACCTCATTTCTCAGGAAGCCTCCCCAGGAACAGGGGGAGAATGTGGCTTTCACGACACCCTGGTCCCAGTATCCTCTCTTGGCCCATCACAGTCCCCACAATTCCCACCACCTCAGCCCCGAGTCCTGGAATTCACTTGGAAACCCTTCTCCCGGTCCGCTTCCCCATTTATCTAGCAGAGAGCCGTGTCTCCCTCCGTCCCTGAAGGCACCCCATCCCACGTCACACACCTGTCCCCTCCAGCGACATCTGTGGGTTGCTCAGGGTTAGCACCAAGTCATCAGCCCCAAAGGTGGCAGCAGGGGGAGCAGAGGCCAAGCTGGGGTCCTCGGAGCTGTACATAGCACTGAAGTAGTTGCTGAAAACGTTGCTAATCTCACAGGTTGCAGCCATGAGGCTACCTGGAGAGAGGGGACAAGGTTGGTGAAGGTTCCAGACTCCTCCCCTTACACCCTGGCTGTTCTCTTCTGGCCAAACCTGGGCAGGAGCCACCCAAAGGGGCAGCAAGGTCGGCAACTGTGTGCGCCCTCTCTTCAAAAAGGGCTTCTAGGTTCAGAGCAAAGTGTGGCTACTAGACCCTCCTGTCGGGGCTCCCTGCTCCGATCGCCCAGAGCCCTTAAGCGGGAGCTTCCAAGTCCTTGTCCCTCCTACAGACAGGATACTCTGACTCTCAGGACCCCCCTACTGCCGCACACTCCTGCTGGGAAATTCCAGACTAGAGGGGGCAGGTTCAGAGCTGCAGATCCATTAAACCATCCCTCGTTTCCCGGATGGGAACGGACAGGTGGGGGTCCTACCGGGTGGCAGGGTACGGGCGTCAGGCAGGCAGGCAGGCTTCGGAGGTCACAGGTGGAAGAGAAATCCAGGTGGCCAACAGCTCGGCCAGGTAGCAGTGAGAAGTCTGGCCCCTATGCTCCCCCACCCATCCTATATAGAGCCGCAGGAGCTCCTCCCCACACCAGGTCTTCGGAGTTTGTCCCGGCGGTAACCTGAGCTGGTGGCTCATTGGATGGAGGGGATTTCCTGGCCTTCAGACTGGGCTCCTGGCCCCAGGTGATTTGCATATTCTGTGCCACTTGGCCCGGATCCTAGCAGGCGGTGCTGGGAAATCAGGCCTGGCTGGTTTAATGATTGTCAGACTCTGTCATCCTGCACCCTCTGGGGTTGGGCCCAGGGCTCTGACCTGGGCAGGTGGCGGGAATGCCGCTGGGGTGGGCATCTGTGCTTCTGGCCACCCTTTGGCTCAGGAAATTCCTCCTGGGGGCCAGGCCAGGGATGGGCTAGGGAGGGGAAAAGGTAAGTGGGGAAACCAGAACCCCTGATTGAACCCTGGCCCTGCCTCTAACTGTCCAGAGAACTGGGGACAAAGGAGCCTAGGAGGAGAGAAGTTATTGAGGTTTAGGGATTTTCTCCACAACACCCAGGATTTGGAGTGAAGGAGGACTCTCCAGACTCCTTGCAAGGCAATATTCACGGGCTAATGGGTGTGGCCTGTCCTGCAGGTGTAGCCCCAGGCTCCAGGGTCCCTAGCCTCGGAACCCATTCACAGGGTCCACTTCATTTTTGCCTGCCTAGGCCCCACCCAAGCATCAGGGTTTCTGCAGCCACTTATGGTGAGATGGGGCTGTACTTAACAGTCCTCCCTCCCTCAGCTGGACATGGTGGCCAAAGCCTGTAATCCCACCCTACTCTGAAGGCTGAGGCAAGATTACAAAAGTTTGAGGCCAGCCTCAACAATTTACCTCAAAAAAAGTTAAAAGGCCAGGGGGATGTAACTCAGCGGTAGAGCACCCCTGGGTTCGATCCCCAGGACCACCACAAAACAAACAAGCAAGCCAAAAACCTTCCTCAGGTGCCTAATTTAGTAGCTCTCCCTGTTTACCAGCACCTGTCTGCTGCCCTCTACTGGTCAGAAGCCTGACTCCTGGGTCATGTCATTCAGAGAAGGGAATCCTGTGGCATTAGTTTCCTATTTTGTCAAGCTCTTTGTTTTTGCAGTACGGGGATTGAACCCAGAGCACTCTGCCACAGAGCCACATCCTCAGCCCCTTTCATCTTTTATTTTGAAACAGGGTCTTCCTAAGTTGCTTAGAGCCTTGCTAAATTGCTGAGGCTGGCCTCAAATTTTCCATCCTTCTGTCTCAGCCTTCCAGGTCACTGAGATTGCAGGCATGTGCCACCACACCCAGCTCTCCAATACTTTTTATTTTTTGAGTCAGGGTCCCACTAAGTTGCACAGCCTGGCCTCAAACTTATGCTCTTCCTATCTGAGCCTTCAGAGAGGCTGGGATTATAGGTTTGTACCACTTGCCCAGCTTACCAAGCACTTTTAACATAAAAATCTTCACACACAAAAATCCACTAAGCAATGTGCATCTTCTTTTGTTTTATTTTGCAGTGCTGGGATTGAACCCAGGGTCTTGCACATGCACTGCGCTACCACTGAGTTACATCCCTAGTTTTTTGAGACTTACTAAATTGCCCAGGCTGGCCTTGAACTTGCAATCTTCCCCCTCAGCCTTCCAAATAGTTGGGGTTATGGGTGCACACCACTGCACCTGGCTAGTTACCTTCATTTAAAGAAAAATCTATTTTTTAGTTGTAGGTTGACACAATACCTTTATATATTTACTTATTTTTATGTGGTGCTGAGGATCGAAACCAGTGCCTCACAAATGCCAGGCATGCGTTCTACCTCTGAGCTACAACCCCAGCCCTACTTACCTTCATTTTATAGGTAGGAAAAATGCAGCTCAGAGGGGTGGAATGGCTTGCCCAGGCCAATGAATTACATAGGCTGGGAAAGGAACCAGATCCTTACACTCTGAGCCTCTGGCTGCAGTTCTCCCCCTCAGTCTTGGATGGAACCCTAGCCTCCCCTGTGGCAGACAGAGTCCCACATACCTGTGCTTCTATGAATTGAGCTCCAAATACAAGAGACTGGGTCCCACAGACCCACCCCTGGAGACCCTGAGCAGAAGTAACAGGATGGGAGGAGGTGGGAGATTAATGTTCTAGAGTCTGTACTATGTGATCTTGGGCAAGGTGCATGGATTCTGCACATCTCCTTCTTTAAAAATAATGTTTGGGGGGGCTGGTGATGTGGCTCATGCGGTAGCGCGCTTGCCTGGCATGCGTGCAGCCCAGGTTCGATCCTCAGCACCACATACAAACAAAGATGTTGTGTCCGCCGAAAACTAAAAAATAAATATTAAAAAATTCTCTCTGTCTCTCTCTCTTAAAAACAAAATAATAATAATGTTTGAGGCTGGGGTTGTGGCTCAGTGGTAGAGCACTTGCCTCAGTAGTAAAGCACTTGTCTAGCATGCAGGAGGCACTGGTTTCTATCCTCAGCAGCACATTAAAAAAAAAAAATTAAACTAAATAAACAAAATAAAGGTATTGTGTCCATCTACAACTAAAAATATTTTAAAAAATGATAATGTTTGGCTAAGTGAGGTGACACACGCCTGTAATCCCAGCAGTAGGATCGTAAGTTTAAGGCCAAGCTGAGCAACTTAGCAAGACCATGTCTCAAAAAGCAGGGAAGGGTTTGGGAATGTAGCTCAGTGGTAGAGTGCCCCTGGGTTTAATCCCAAGTACCATGCCAAAAAGAAAGAGGTTGTTTGGAATAAATAATCCTTAAGGTCTCTTCTAGCTCTTTGTTTTGTGTGTGCTGGGCCTGGAACCCAGGGCCTGGTGAGTACCCTACCACTCTACACCCTCAGCCTCAAACTTTATTCATGCATCTGAGATAGAGGGTGTGGCTCTCCTCCCCATCCCCTTAATTTACAACACAATAGTGGGGGAGGGGATATTTTTACAGGTCACTTTAACAGAAGGTGACTCATGATTCCACATCCAGGTACCCCTCTCTGACTTGATAGCTGGAGGATTTGCTTCTCATCTTTCTTGTCTCTGAAAGTACTGGGTGCCTAGGAGAGAGGGTTCTTAATGTCCAGAGTCCCCTTCACTGGGCCAGGGGTGGCAGGAGAGCCAGGGGCTCTGGGCAGGATTATTTTCAGCCCTTCAGGGGGCCACCCCCAAGGAGCCCAAGGCAGGCACACCCTCTACCCAGTCACTCACCCTGGAATGTGGGAGAACCGGCTGCAGCCCCAGGGCTATTCACATGCTCCTGCCTGAAGAGCACCTGGCCAGGGCTCCAGAGGCAGGGTGAGGAGGAGGCACAGAGCATAATGAGAAGGCCACCACAACCCTGCCTTCATGAGGCTTCTCCACAGAAGAAATGCAGCTGAGGAAATCCTGCAGGCTCGCACCTGCCCAACTATTAGTGCCTTCAATAACCAAATGAGGCAGGAAAATAGAAAAGACTTGGACTTGGGGTCAGTGCCTCGGAGGGCTGAGGAGGTTCCAGGACTGTGGTCAGACCAGCTATGGAGCAGGAAGCAAGGGGCCTTCCAAATACCACAGTGGCACAGCCTCACCCTCAGGACGGGAGGATGGCAAGAGGATAGCCCCCAGCCCTTTAAAGGACAGACACACTCAGCAAGATAGCAGGGAGCAAAGGTGGCGTGCCCATACTATGAAACAGAAGGACTCACAAAGCAAGTGCGACAGAGAAGGCTGCAGAGGAAGCACTCCCAGCCTTGGCTTCCAGGACCCTTCGTATTTACTGGGCTCATCCATGTTACAGGGTTTTAATACAGAACAAGGCTACTGGTCTCAGCTGATATGCTAAACACTAGGCTGGGGATATGAGGAGGCATCTAGACAAGCCCTAAAATAGTCTTGGCCCGTAACATATTGCCAGGGACATCCTGAAAGAGCTTGGGAAACAGTTTGGTATCAAGTTGCCAATGTCTAGGGCTGAGGCTAAAGCTCAGTGGTGGAGTGCTTGCCTAGCATGTGCAAGGCCCTGGGTTCAATCCCCAGAACTGCCAGGAAGGGGGGGAAAAAGTCAGTGCTCTGAGTAGCTGCCCCAATCCTGGACCTCCCAAGTCGTTCTATGATCCACAACTGCCCCCCTCTTCGGGGGAGGCTCTGAGCATGCCATGGGGAAGAGGTGCTCTCCTGCCAACCGTTGGTTACTACTATTCTCTTACTTTGGCTAAGACTGAGAACAAATCAACTGAAGTACTCTTTCTCAATCCCTGTGCAGGGAAGGCCACATGGATAACCTAAAGTAAGGCACAGAACCACAAATGGATATTGGTTCAGGGGTCCCTGTAGTTAAAAAAGGTAATCTAAATATAATTTTTCTTTCAATCCTCCTCTCACCTCACTCTCAAACCCAAGTTACTCACTGCTTAGCCTACAATGAAGCCAAGAAGTCAGAATTTAGTACCAAGTTTTGGTTTTGGAATGCTGGGGATAGAACCCAGGGCGTTGCACATGCTAGGCAAGGTTCTACCTCCCCGAGTCCAAGTGCCAAGTTTTGAACAGATTCGACCCATCACCACACCATTAAAATATAGTTATCGAAGAGCACAGGCAGGTGAGGCCCCGCAAAGGCCAGGGACGGGAAGGAAGGGGAGAGAGAGAGAGCACTAGATCAAACTTGAGTTTGAGAGGTGGAGGAGGAGAGCATTGGACTGAGGCTGCAGCTAGGGAACTGGGCTTCGCTCCCTCCCACGGAGCAGGATGGAAGGCTCTTCATCCCCATGCTGTCCCTGCAACAGCCCTGCCATGTGGCCAACCATTTTTTCACTGGCCCGTGTGGGCCCCACTCCTCAGTCTGGCAGTTCCCTAAAGACAGGGAGACAATGTCCCCCCCTGGCCCCGCAGTGATGTTCTCTTATCACTCATATTGAGAAGGTACACCTGGTAGAAGAAATTAACAGTTACTCAGTGTATCACTCCAACTTATCTACTTTTTGCTTAAAAACATTTATTTAAAAAAAGAAAGAAAAAGAAAGGAAAATCTCTCTGCTTCTCCCCAGAAACTTAAGTGGGAAGGCAGGAGAAGACCGACTGCCCCCACCAACGCCAGCAGCCTGTATGGAGAGGAGCTGTGGGAGGGAAGGACAGAGAGAAGCTCCTGCCAGAGCACAGGCCCAAAGTGACAGATACCTAAGGTCAGAAAACAGATCATCCCGAGGGGACCAAAACTTCAGGATGTTGACTGGAAAACTAGAATTTGAGAACAATTATTCTGAAAGCCTGGGCAGTCCAAAGAGACAGGCCATGCACATGACCTCTAACTGCCCTTGGGCTCCAGGATTTGCTGGACGTAGTTGACAACATTGCTGTGGAGCTGGGAGGCAGTGGACGCAAAAGTCTCCTTGGCGAGGGTCTGGGCCACTTCACTGCCACTCATCATGGCGTGGTACAGCGGAAGGGTATACTTCTGCTTCCCCTGCAGAAACACATGCACGGGCTCTGAGCAGCTTGCTGTTGTCTTCCCAGCCCACTTCCCCTGGAAGCAGTCTAACAGGGACCATGGTCAAGTGCCAAGAGGGATGTGGGACCAGAGTTGAAATAGAGAGCTTCTCAGTCAGAGGTGCCCTGATTCTGGCATCTTCTCAGGTGGCAAAGATCCATGGAGATAAATCTCAACATGCATCCAAAGCCAGGATAACATAGGGACCCCTACATCCACAGAACAAATGAGACGGGTTAACACAAAGGGACTGCCAACTTTTGGAGAGCTGGAGGTGGTCAGCTATCAAGGTAGTGACAGACATAAAAGGCGGCAGCACAGGGCTGGGGTGGGGCTCAGTGGTAAAGCACCCCTGGGCTCAATCCCTAGTACCATTAAAAAAGAAATAACTGGGCTGGGTTGTGGCTCAGTGGTACAGCGCTTGCCTAACGTGTGAGGCCCTGAGTTTGATCCCCAGCACCACATAAACATAAATAAATAAAGGTACTGTATCTATCTACAACTAAAAAATTTTATATATATATATATATATATATATATTAAAGACTGTAGCACATAAAACTCAGGACCACATAAGGTCAACTACAATCAAGCAAAAGAAAACCCCTAAGACATGCAGCTCCTGCTTCATGCAGATCAGAGAAGCTGCTCTGCAATCAATGATATTCAGTTCCTGGGGAAAGCCCCACCCTTACCCAGGAGGCAGATTTCATAGCTGATGGACAATCCTTCTGTCCATTCTAATCCCAAGTCCTGCAGCTTTCCCACGAGGCAGGGATCTATATAATCTAGCCTTTGCTCACCTTGCTTGTCCTCTGGCCCTCTCCCATTCTCCCCATGACCAGAACCATGCTATGTGTTACCCTCCTTACCAGTTTTGAGTGAGGGTTCGCTGGCTACCTTTTATCCCTCAAGCCTCTACCAGATTATCTGCAAAAAACCCCCTAAGCTTGCAGGCTTTYTCTTTCCCTAGGACGATGTTTCCAGCGGCCACATTATTAACACAATGAGGAGTAAGATCCTCTGGAGGTCCCAGGCCCCTCATCCTCTGTAGCTCTGAGCTCAGACCACAAGACACTGAAGATGCTTTGCCCACAGGATGACTTCAAGTATGGTGGGTAGTCCACATCCCACCTTCATGGGACAGGGAGGTGGGGGTCACCCACCTGGCTCTGCAGGAACTCTTTCACTTTCCAGAAATCCTCCTGATGGTCGTTCTTAAGTACAATTTGACCCCATCGTAGCCGCAGCTCTGCATTCCGGGCATTTGAGACCTTCGGGTATGCCTCTCCAAGTTTCTTCACATTCCCTAGAAAAGAGAAAGAAATGGATTGTTTTGTTTTTTTGGTACCAGGGATTGAACCCTGGGTGCTTAACCCTGAGTCACATCCTGAACCTTTTTTTTTTGTATTTTACTTAAAGACAGGGTCTCACTCAGTTGCTTAGGGCATCGCTCAGTTGCTGAGGCTGGCTTTAAACTCGATCCTCCTATCTCAGCCTCCAGAGCTGCTGGGATGACAGGCATGTGCCTCCATACCCAATGGTATGCGTTGTTAATGACCAGCAGGGGAAGCCAAGAAGCCCCATTCTCAGGGACACTAAGTGCTTGCCTACCCTGAGGTCCTCAAAGAGGCCACAACCACCCACTGTATCATTCATTCTTATGCTCCGGAATGGTAATATTCTATTATCACAGTTACTTGAATTTCTTTTTTTTTCTTTTCATTTTTTTGTAGTTGTAAATGGACAGCATGCCTTTATTTTATTACCTCATGCATGCTAGGCAAGCGCTCTACCACTGAGCCAGAGCCCCAGCCCAGTTACCTGAACTTCTAAGGCTCTGCTGTCCAATGTGCCTTACTGTCCAGTCACCTAACCCCAAACTAGTAATATGGGTGCAGGTCACAGACAAGCTCTTTTCCTGTAATCATCCTATTTTCCTTTATGGATTATAACACATGTATACCCCCTAAATATGCTTCCCCACTTTTTTCCTACCATTAACCTGATCAATTCATCTGAACTTTACCTGCATCCCCCCAATATTGGAGACTAAACCCAGCAGCACTTTACCACTGAGCTACACCCCAAGCCCTCTTTATTTTTAATTTATTTAATTTATTTGAATTAGGGTTTCAATAAATTGCTGAGGTTGACCCTGAACTTATGCTCCTCCTTGCCTCAACCTCTTGAGTAGCTGAGATTACAGCCAAACACCATTATGTTTTAGCTTTTTCTCACCCCTTGGTGAATATTATCTCTCTCTCTTTCTTTCTTTTTTTTCTTTTTCTTTTTGGTACCAGGCCACCAAGYGACATCCCCAGCCTTTTTAATTTTTATTTTTTATTTAGAGACAGGGTCTCACTAAATTGCTTAGGGCTGCCCTAAATTGCTGAGGCTGGCTTTGAACTCATGACCCTCCTGCCTCAGTCTCCCAAACTGCTAGGATTACAGGCATGCGCCACCACACCCAGTGGTGAATATCATTTCRATCAAGCAGCAAGCATTAATGGCTAAAAGCTTTGGATGACTGTATTCAAATTCCAGTCCATTCATTGGCTATATGAACGATGTGTGCCTCAAGTTCATTTTGTTACATGGGGATTAAAATCACAATTCCTCCTTCACAGACTAGTTGTAAGGATTAAGCCACCTCACAGATATGCAGAGCCTAAAAAAGTGGCCTGCAGCGCCTGAAGCATTGAGGAATGCCAGGCTTACTCTACTCCCCATGGCACCAGGGACCTGTATTCTTCTGATGACAGGTTTCTCATGAAGTACTTGCCTCCCTGATGTATCTGGCACTGCCTTGGGCCAAGATCTCAACTCCTCCTGACTCTCCTTCTGGACCAGGTTAAAAGCTGTTACCCAAGGAGACTTGATTCAGCATATTGAAGAAATAACCCACTTATTCTTACCAGGAGGGAGAGGGGATTTCTGGAGGATCTTATCTAGGAAGTAGATCAGCTGGTAGGTCTTCCAGGAAGAGATGGCCACAGCCTCAATGGCTGGCATGTTTAGCTCCTCAGTCACCCACAGCTGGGCCAGTTCTTCAGCCGGCTTCATGAGTGAGTCCCCAGGAGAGAGATCAGGAAGGTAGGGGGGCCAGCCAGGAGTATTCAGCCATCGATCAAACTCAAAACCTGTTGAACAAAAGGAGAGAAGATACTATCAGAATACTCTGGCCAGGTCAAGGTCAACTTTCCCAAGCAACTCCTATAGACCTCAAGCCCTGCCTCTCTTCAACCCAAACTCCTTCTCCAGTACTTAATGTCACTTTCCCAAACAACAATTTGTCCAGCAAGGTCGCAGTTAGGTGATACCTGGAGAATATCATAGTAAGGCTGGACTGTGACTATTTCTTCTGTGAAAGCGTTCTGTGCATTTGTTTTTCAGTTCTAGGGATTGGACACAGGAGCACTCTGT